TTTTTTTTTTTATTTTCATGTCATGTGAGAATTACTATATCTAAATAGTCTTTAATGATTTTGAACACCTTCATTCTCTTTTTAAAGTTAATTACTTTCCACATTTTCTTATTTTAACAAAATTGTATTAGCTTTGAAAAAGATTTTTCATAAAATCTCAATTTCTTCTTTTTAAAAATAAATATCCAAGGTCTTTAACGTTCTCAAAAATACAATTTCCTTTATTTTAAATAATCAAAGCACAATCTTATACTCTTATTCTAAATATCTCAAATCCATAATTAATCTTTATTATTAAAAAATTTTACTTAAGTTTACTATATTATTTATAAATTCAAACATATAGTTATATCAAACTATCCCAACTTACCATAGGTTATATTTAAATAATTTTTGAAAATATATTTTACTTAGGACAAATAAGGTTCAATTTTTAAAAATTTTCTTCCTTCTCCCAAACTTAAATTTTAAATTAGTTTAAAACAGTCCAATTTATAATAATTATGAAGAATGAGAAAGTTTTAAAATTTCTAAACAGGAGAACAGTACAGGTACAATAAAAATAGGTGATGAGTAATAGACAAATTAAATTAAAACAGGTATATCATAAAAAGCTTGCAAATATAAAACTCTACTCTAATACATATCCAATACTAAATAAATAAAGAGGAGCAAAAGTAGCAGTGATAAAAAAATTGAAAAAAACCAAGCAATCTTACGTAGTCATGCATCAGAAGTCCAAACATATGAAATAATAAACAGATCTACAACTGAAAAGTAAGAAATTCTAGTAATCTCCTTCAACATCATCATCACCATCAAAATCAAATGATATATCTTCATCAATAGATTTTAGGCCTACATAAGGAGTAAATCGAAGGCAAGTAGGAAACTCAACTGACTGATCTCCATTCATGAATTTCATTAATGCCTCGTCATAATCTGCATCATAATCACTCTTTCTCCGAACGTATTTGTCATGTGATCAGATTTTTTTTCCATATCTTCCATACGACACTGCATCAAAAACATATCATTCTGGTGTTCCGAATATCTCTCACTCAACACATCCCAGAAACCAGATGGAGGCACAGTAGTAGTGGAAGTAAAAGGTCTAGAAGTAGAAGGCTTGGAAGTAGTAGTAGGTCACTCAACACATCCCAGAAACCAGATGGAGGCACGGTAGCAGTGGAAGTAAAAGGTCTAGAAGTAGAAGGCTTGGAAGTAGTAGTAGAGGGTGCATCATGAGCTCTATCTCTATGTCGTCCGTACACATCTACATTGGCCTTTCCAATGAGCTTGAGTGGCTTCAACTGCTCCTCCCAATGCTCATACTTTACTCAAGAGTTTATGCAAATAGTAAATATCAAAGATCAAAATACAAGACCTAAAGTAGTACTAGCTATAGTAGAGGAACTAATAGTCTCATAAATAAGAGAGTCAACATCTATAGGTTTCATCTCTTGAATGCAGTAATTTAATATGGCTCTTTCTCTTATCACCTCACTTAAATGATTTGAAGGAAGGGGGTGAGCAGAAATAAAATAATGTCAGACCTTTGAGGTGGCATTTGATCCACGAAAAATATATGCATTTTTAGACCTATATTTTATACTCATTTTTGGTGATATTGCGCTTTAAAGAAGGTATTTTTCATGTTTTATTGTAGGTTGATGATTTTTATTGATTTTTAGGACGTGAAGCAAAAGAGATGAAATTTGAAGTCAAAATGGAGTTTTAGAAGAAATGTACAGCGCCAACGGAGCCAGACTGGGCGACGACGGCTCCATTAACAAAGAGCACAGATTAATTAAAGGGCCACTGGCACCGACGAAGCCAGAATGGGCGCCGACGATGCCAAGGTTGGTGCAAGCCCGATTACTAGAAGATTCGACGAATTTGGACGCTTTTTAAAGAGTTTTTGGATGCACCTATTGGAAAACTTACATTAGGCTCTATTTGGAGCAAAAAATTAATGAGAAAACTCTCTCTCTCTCTCCCGTGCTCTTCCGCCTCCATTCCAACCACTTTGAGTCCATTAGTCATTTAGTTCTATAGAGTTTTGAGTTTTGTGGTGAGTTTAAGTGTGATAACTTTTCTAAGAGTTGTTACAGCGAGAGAGAAGTGAGAGATTTCTTCTTCCTTACATCTTTTAAGAGAGAATAAAGAGTATTGTAAAGAGAGAAAGAGTCTAAGAGAGGTTATAAGGGATTTGCTTTGAGAAAGAGTTTCAGATAAGTTTTGTTTGTTTATTATTGTTGTATGAACGTTCTTTTATATATAAAATTTGTGTTTTGTTGTATCTTTCTCATAAAGTCTGAGTAGTTTTCTTTATCTTTGTCCCTACCTTCTTTGTCTTTCTCCCTGCAATGAGATATGGTGAAATGGGGAGATAATTTGGATGTGTCATTTAAATGACAAATTAATTGTGATGATCATTCACTTCGTTCTTCATTTACTTTTCGATTTGGCCAATTGAAATGTTAAAATTTTTTGTGAAATATACGATATGGGAAATGGACTGCGAGTTCTACAACAAAGTGAGAATCACATTCGATTCCATGGAGGAGTATGTCATTCATGTAATTGGGTGCAAAGAAATAGGGAAATATACATTGTTGGGTGTAGAATTGGAGATTTTAGGGCGACAGACTAAAATATCCAATTTGGTCTTACTGTTTAAGAACAAAAGCGAGTGTTAACCTTTAGGAGAAGGGAAGTGGGAGCTCTGGAGTGAGAGCCAGTATCCTCTCGATTTAATCACGAATTTAGGGACTAAACCTGAGATTAGCCAATGATTCTCTATAACACTGAATCAGGATAGAGAATTAAAATTGCTTCTATTTGACACAATACAGATTTAAACCATTTATCTCATCTCATTTTACCAAAAACTCATTGTAGTGAGAACGATATTTTTTCTTATTAGATAACTTCATCACATAAATATAGTTTGGTAGTTACTATTTAAACTTTGCATTATAGTTTTGCAAGTAGTTAATAATTTAGCTCTGATAATACATCAAATATTCAAAATTAGTGACAATAATTTTATTTTATTGCTGTAAATTTTCTAGTTAATTTATCATTTCCAATTTAAACCTTTCTCGTGGGATCGATATTTGGGGCTTAAACAGAAAGTCTTGTATTACTTGATAACGATATGTATACTTGCGTAGAATCCCTACATAAATTGCTTAAATTTCTTATTCATAAACTAACGCATTAAGTTTTTGGTACTGTTGTAAAATGGAGTCAATTTTATATATTTTGCACAACTATATCATCAGGATCAAGTTTTTGGCGTCGTTGTTAGGGAAGTTAACGGTAAATTAAATAAATTTGGTAAATTAGGAAATTTAGTGATAATTAAAAAATATAAAATAATAATAATAAAATAATAAAACTAAAAATCCAAAAAAATAATAAAAATATACTTAAGAGTATTTTGAAGAAATTTTTCTTTGCTTATTATACTTGTTTATGTGAAATATTAGATCTGAAGGTTTGGTACCTTATGATTCAGACTTAAAGCGTACTATTAGAAAAATTTAAAAACAAAAAAAAAAGAAATTGAAAATTTATGGATCTGAAGGTTTAGTATCTTATGATTCAGAACTAGAACGTACTATTAGAAAAATTAGAAAAAGTCAAAAACAACAAAAAGAAATTAAAAATTTAAAGGAAATGACGAATAACTTAGATAATCAAATAAATGAAAATCGACAAAGACCTTTAAAAGATGATGCTAATGCGACAACAAATGAACTTCACTTGACTATTCAAAATCCCGATATTGCTGCTAATTTATTTGAGCTTAAACCTGCTATTATCCAAATGGTACAAAATAATCAGTTTCTAAAAATCCTAACTTACATCTTGCTAGTTTTATTGAAGTGCTACATTTAAATATGACGGAGTGTCCAATGATGCTATTAGACTTAGACTTTTTCCTTTTTCATTAAAGGATAAAGCCAAGGCTTGGTTGAATTCATAAGCACCTGGATCTATTAGAACTTGGGGAGAACTATCACAAAAATTCTTGGCTAAATATTTTTTACCCTCTAAAGCCGCTAAGCTTAGAAATGATATTACATCTTTTTGTCAGTTTGAAGGGGAATCGATATATGAAGCCTAGGAATAATTTAAAGATCTTCTTAAAAAGTGTCCACACCATGCTTTGCCAGATTGGTTAATAATTCAAAGTTTTTACAGTGGATTAGTAGGATCACTAAGATATATTATAAATGCTGCTGCGGGTGGATCATTAATGTCAAAATTTTTTGATGAAGCATATTCTTTAATTGAAGAATTGACTACTAATAATTTTCAATGGCTCTCTAAATGGGTAAATCCTAAGAGAGTAGCTAGTATTCATGATTGTTAGTATTCATGACTCTGATGTAATGTCTGTTTTAGCATCTCAAATTGCTACTATATCAAAGAAGATTGATCAAATTGGAGTGAAAAATTCTAAATACCACCAGTATTAGAAGAAAATTCACTAAGGTAATTAATTGATACTCAATTATCTTATGAAACTTTAATGTTATAAATAATCAAAATAAAAATCTCTATTTTAACTATTACAATCTTGGATAGAAAAGGATAGAAAAATCACTCTAATTTTAGTTGGAATAATTATAACAATTTGGTGAAACCCTCAGAAAATTCAAACAACGAAAATTCAAACAACCAAGAAATCCTAACTATCGACCTTATTATCCTCTTGAATTTAACTCTAACCCTAACCCACAAGTTAAGGAAAAGAAGTTCACGATGGAAGAAGTAATGTTAAACATGAGAAATCAAATACAGAATTAAGGGGCTGTTATTAGAAATATTGAAAATCAATTAGGACATATTGCTACATTTAGTAATAAACCTTCAAGAAATCTTCCGAGTACTGTGGAAGTTAATCCAAAGGATCAAAATAAGGAGCAAATTAAAGTTATTTAATTACAAAAGTGAAAAAGAAGTAGAAACAAGAATCCAAAGAGAAAAAATCCTTTCTAAAAGTTAGAAAAGAAAAAAAAAAAGGAGTCATCCAAATAGTTCGAATTATCTTAATAAAAGTTCCTTTAGAAAAACCACTACCTCCGTTTCCTCAATGATTGAAGCAAAAGAATAAAGATAAACAATTTCTAAAATTTTTGGAAATCCTTGAAAAGTTAACAATAAATATTCCTTTCTTTGAGCCTTTAGAACAAATGCCAAGTTATGTGAAATTTCTGAAGGATATACTAAACAAGAAAAGGAAGTTTTCAGATCATGAGACCGTTGCACTTAGTGAAGAGTGTAGCGCTATTATTCAGAAAAAGCTTCCTGTAAAGTTAAAATATCTGGTAGTTTTACTATTCCTTGTGTTATTGGTGAAAAGTTTTTTGGAAAAGCCTGATGTGATTTAGGAGCGAGCATAAATCTTATGCCTCTATCGATTTTTAAACGTTTAGATTTAGGAGAGATTTCCCCTGCTACTATAACTCTTCAATTAGTTGATCGATCAATAAGTTATCCTAAAAGATTTATAGAAGAAGTATTAGTGAAAGTGGATAAATTTATTTTTCCTGTAAACTTTATCGTATTAGATATGGAGGAAGATAAAGAGATTTCTATTATTTTGGGGAGACCATTTCTTGAAACATGGGGAGTTATGATAGATTTGCAAAAAGGAGAATTAATAGTGAGAGTCAATGATCAAGAAGTAACATTTAATATTGCAAAAGATATGAAATATCCTACAATAGAAAAAGATAATAAATACTTTAGGATGGAAGTTACTAGTTATCTGAGTAATGAGCAATTTAAGGACGTGTTTGAAGAAAAATTAAGGCAAGAAACATATTGTGAGATTGAGAATGAAATAAAAGAAGAGAATTTCAGATTATGTTCAAGACAAATTTGAAACTTTAAACTTATTGGAAAATGATAATAAAAAACTGAAGATATTACCTGCCCATCTAAAATATGTATTTTTAGGAGAGTCATCTACATTGTCTGTCATTGTATCTTCTGACTTAACTGAAATTCAAGAACAAAAATTAATGAAAATGTTGAAAAGAATCAAAACTTGTGATAGATGTCAATGAGTAGGCAATACTTCTAGAAGAAATGAGATGACCCTCAATTATATGCTAGAAGTTGAAATATTTGATGTTTGACGATTAGAAACATGATTCTATTAGATGAACAATACGAACCTAAAGTTGATCCTCAGAGGAGATTAAACCCAATAATGAAAGAAGTTGTTAAAAAGAAATCTTAAAATGGTTAGATGTTTGCATTATATATCCTATTTCAGGCAATGCTTGGGTAAGTCCAATTCATTATGTTCCAAAATGTTCCAAAGAGACAATTGAAGTAAATGAGAAAAATGAATTAATTCCAATAAGACAAATTACCGTATGGCCAATTTGTATAGAGTTACTGGCTGGCAAATTAAATTTGTATAGACTATAGAAAATTAAACCTGGTCACCGGAAAAGATCACTTTGCTTTACCCTTTTTAGATCAAATGTTGGATAAATTGGTTGGACACAAATATTACTTCTTTCTAGATGGATATACCAGGTATCACCAAATTCTAATTGCTCCCGAGGATCAAGAGAAAGCAACATTTACAAGCCCTTATGGGACATTTGCTTTTCGTAAAATATCTTTTGGACTATGGAATGCACCTGCGACATTTCAAAGATGTATGATGTCAATTTTTAGTAATTTAATTGAACATGGAATGGAAATATTCATGGATACTTTTTTTGTATTCAAGACTTCATTTGAATTATGCTTAAGTAATCTAGAAAAAGTTTTAGAATTATGTGAAAAAATCAACCTAGTATTAAATTAGGAAAAATGTCAATTTATGCTTGCGGGAGGAATTGTACTTGGGCATAAAATTTCTGAAAATGGCATGGAAGTAGATCATGCAAAAATTCAAGTTATTGAGAAATTACCACCTCCTACTACGGTAAGAGGGGTAAGAAGTTTTATAGGACATGCTGGTTTTTACAGGCGTTATATAAATTTTTTTTTAAAAATAACTAAGCCATTATGCCAACTTTTAGAAAAAGATATGAAATTTGATTTTAATGAGGAATGCATAAAAACACTTGAATTTTTAAAAGAAAAATTAATCACTACACCTATAATAGTTCCACCTAATTGGGAGAAGTCATTTGAAATAATGAGTGATGCTAGTGATTATGCTATTGAAGTTGTTTTAGGACAAGACACAATAAAGTTCTTAAAGTAATATATTATGCTAGTAAAACTCTAAATAAAGCTCAAATTAATTATACTACTATTGAAAAAGAATTATTAGCTATTGTTTAGTCAATGCCTTTGATAAGTTTAGACCTTACTTAATTGGAGTCAAATGTATAGTGCATAAAGATCATTCTGCTATCAAATACTTGATGCAAAAGAAGAATGCTAAACCAAGATTAATTAGATGGATACTTCTTCTACAAGGGTCAATTTTATGGTAGTTGATAGAAAGGGAAATGATAATCAAATAACTGATCATTTGTCTAGACTTAAACAAGAAATATTAATTAATTTTACAAATGAAATTTTGGAAACTTTCCCTGATGAACAATTATATAATATTGATGTGGTGAATATATCATGGTATGCCGATATAGTAAATTATATTGTGAGTGATATTATACCACCAGATGTTAAGAATCAAAAATTAAAGAAATTTATTTATGATTCAAAACAATGTAAAGATCTAATTATTAGAAGGTGTGTGCCTGATGAGAAAACTCAACAGATAATTGAAAGATGTCATTATTCTGAATTTGGAGGACATTTTGGAATGAATAGAACTGTATCATAAATTTTGCAAGTTGGATTTTATTAGCCTACTCTTTTTAGAGATATTAATGAATATATTAAAACATGCGATCGATGTCAGTGAGTATGAAAAAATATTTCGAAAAGAAATGAAATACCTCTAAATTACACATTGGAAGTTGAAATTTTTGATGTGTGGGGATTAGATTTTATGGGCTCGGAGTGTTTCTAAATTTTTAAATAAAAATATGTTTACAAGATATACAATGTCGAGAGTGATTATTACGGATGGAGGATCCCATTTTAAGAATAAGAGAATCGATAAATTGATTAAAAAATATGATATTATGCATAGATTCTCTACTACTTATCATCCTCAAACGAGCGGTCTAACAGAGATATCAAATCGTGAAATAAAATAAATTTTAGAAAAAGTTGTAAATCCCTATAAATTGGATTGGTCTGCTAGATTAGATACTACACTATGAGCATACAAAACTGCTTATAAGAATTTTATTGGAATATCCCCATATAGACTTATTTAAAAAAAAAACATCTCACTTACCAGTAGAATTGGAGGTCACCTACCAGTAGAATTGGAGCATAAAGTATTTTGGGCTATTCAAGAATTTAATTTTAATCTAAAAGATGTTGGTGAAAAAATTTTATTGCAACTCAACGAACTTGAGAAGATTATAAATGAAGCATATGATAATGCAAAAATCTATAAAGAGAAAATGAAAGTCTGACATGATCAGAAGATTATAAAAAAGAAGTTTGAACCTGGATAAGAAGTTCTATGGGGATCTAGTAAGTGAAATAACATAACTTACTAGAGATATGGTATTTCATTGTTCCATTAAAACTCCATATGGTATTTCATTGTTCCATTAAAAAATACCATATGGAGTTTTTACCATCATTATTTCACTTACTAGATCCCCATAGGTCTTTATGTCATCATTATTTCACTTACTAGATCCCCAAATTTTGAAATCCATGGCTTCTAATTCCAAAATTACTTTAAGATATGGAGTTTTTAATGGAATAAAGTTCATCATTTTTGATACGCAGAGATTATAAGACAAAGTCATCACGAAGAAGAGACTTATCAAGGAGAGAGGCTTTATCAATCATGGATTGATTAATCCAAGTTCACAGATTGAGAAAATCATAATATAGAGATGTTGGGAAGTTCTATGCTACACTACCGCTACAGCTGTTATACCAGTGGTAAAGGGATTCTATGCTAACTTACATGGAATTACCCAAGGAGTCGTCTTCGTTCGAGGTAAGGCTGTACCAATTACTTCATCTCGAATTAATGATTTGTATATGATAGAAAGTGTGTCAATTGTACCAATTTCTTCACCTCGAATTGATGATTTGTATATGATAGAAAGCGTGTCAATCTATTATTATACAAATTTTATCTCAACGAGAGATATGATGCAAGATGTATACCAATTTCTAACGGTATTGAGAAATCAAAGATGAGGGATACATTAGTTTCTCTGTTTCACTGCTTAATCCAATATATAAACAATGACATTTCTTCATATCTACAAAATTACTTCCTACCATGAAAGTTAGTAGAGTTACAAAAGAAAGTGCAATTTTAAACTATTACATTCAAATGGAAAAGCCCATTGATGTGGGATCAATTATTTTAAAATCTATTATGGGTATTATTATGAGTGGGCCTATATATGGACTTGGGCATCTTTCTACAATTTTCTTTCTTTGCAGTCAATCTCAAGTGTCATATGAAAGTTTGGAGAAAGTATTATTACCCTGGGAGCCCATGATTTCTATTGATGAAAACTATATTGGGAATGGAAATGAAGCATTGGATATTATCTTGGATCATTCCTCACATGCTTCAACACCATTAATTTCCTATACAATTGGAAGTTCAATAGCTTTGGAGAAGAAAATGAAGAAAATTTAAAGAGAACTTCATAGTATTATGAATGCAATAGGAAATCTTAACTACCTTTTTTATCACTTAGATTGGAGAATGAAGGAGAACTTTGATCATACCGGAAAAATTGAAGCAAGTTTGGTGCAGATATTCAAGAAAAATGGATGGATCGATGAAAATTCGACTGATCAATTCTCGTACCGACCTTTCTACAATTAGTATGTCCATTATCAGTCTATGGGAGATATTAAAGGAAGAGAAAGTACTGAAGATGAAGCAGAGTAATTGAAGCAGTTAGACTCTCTACTATTTTAAATTAATTATGTTTTTAATGTGATTGTGTTG